TTTTTGGCTTTGGAGGGATTATTATTAGGCTCTGTGTGGAGTAAGGAAACTTGCCCAAGGTTTCGCCCTCTACCTGGAATTGAACTCAGGTCTCTCGCTTGCAAAGCGAGTGCTCTAACCACTGAGCTACAGGGCTCCACAAAGGTCTTGAGGAATGTCATGAAAAGATGGGACAATGGAATTAAAAAGATACAGCAATTTGGAGAACATAGAGAGTAACTTCAAGTATCTTATTCCTTCCGGGTCACAGAATGTTCAATGACCGAATCAATCTGCCTCTCAAACTTCTGTTACTACTGATTTAAAATTGGCCACATCTGTGATGACGACTCTGAAAATGGGATGTTTTGTAGACTTTGTGGAGCAGTTGGAATGCAATATTTGTGAGCTAACCAGAAATACTATACGTTATACTGAACCTCTTCGGTCAGTCATGCAAGATTTAAAGGATTACTTTAATTGACACAGTCAGTGTCAAAGTGTATTTCAGAATTGAGAGCACTTTGTGTGATTAATTGCTGTGTTAGCAGCATCTGAGTATATTGTGTTAAGACATATTCATTACTGTAATTGGTTCTATTAAGTTTCCACATTTAAGGCTGATAATTATCTTGAAATCATTTCATAGTTAATTGTTATTACTTTTTTAAGGCAACACATTTACACTTCATTTAGGTCAAGGTTACCAAAAAAAACACTGGCTAGGTATTGTGAGCAGCGACAGTAAGCAATTAGATCAATGGCATTCAGTGGTATGGGGCAATCAGTTTGGAGAGAATGATGTCTAGAAGGCATCAATTGTGCAATCATTAAAGTATTACAGAAGCCCCGAAGATAAAAAGAATAGAAAGGCACACAAGTCAATGAATGATCAAACTAGATACAGCAGATCATTCTGCCTCTGTCTCGTCTTAACTGAGATGGACAAGTCTATTCACAATTATCTTTTTCACAAAGGACAATCTAGATCAGAAGCTCGTGGTTGGGAATTGAGCGCATACTTTAGGCTCACATTCCATTGCAGTAATGCAGATCCTCGCACTGTCATAAGTAATGTCCTTCAAGTAAGATGTTAAACAGCTCTGCCTATTCAGGTGGACTTTAATAATCCCACGATATGATTCAAAACATAGATTTTGTTTTTAGACCCGTTCTTGACGAAAGGTCAACGACCGGAAACATTAACTCTTCATAGACACTGCCTCACCTGCTGAGTGTTGCCAGCGACTTCTATTTTTATTATAGATTTGTATTTGTTGGCGGTTAAAAAAAATAAGTGAACCGAACAATCGCGTTAGACTTTATTGGAGCTCATTCATAATAGGAACTGCATTTTTGAGAATTTGTTGCAAGAGGTAGGGGTAATAGATCGCATACTTCCCTGAACTGTATCCACAACCAAATACTTTGAGTATGCTCTGTGCTGATAATTAATTCTCTGTACGATTGGATTAATATTCTGGGTAGATTTTATATTGATATGAAACTTCTGTTTTTAAATAGGAAAGCTGTGTACTTTTAGCTGGTTAAACTCCAGCTAATTGGCACTCTAGGGTTCCCAAGCCTGGATCTTGCCAACCAGAGCCTAATATTTCCTGAATTAGGTAAACAAGGTACGTCTCTATGGGTGGCAGAGACAATGGGAGATTTCTATGTGTAGATGGAATTCAGTTTGGACACTTACATGTTGATGGGTTGTTGCTTGTATCAGACACTCGTCCGACCAACAAACAAAATCTTTTTTTTAAACAGCAAGATTGTTTTTTCCTTTCCATTCTTCTGCAAGAGATTATAATTACAAATGAGCCCTTGTTTGTTTTCATTTCATGTATGTCCTAGAAAAATGTTGTGAAGTCTTAGAAAGTCAACTGATTGAAGTTCTATTTTTATCTGAAAGGATTTTTTTCTTCGCTCGTAGTTTTGCCTGTCGTGCAGTAATTAAGATGATTTATTAAGAAAAGCACATGATATTGTATCATGGAGATTTGGTTTTAGTCAAAGGCAGGAGAAATCTGGGATAGGATTTTATAATGGATGCAGTGTTTGCATTGTTTAAATGAGCTAAATTCATTTGGTAACATACTCATCAGAAGGTGTTAGATTTAAGACCACATTGAGATCTTGAGATCACATTAGGATCCAGGCCGACAATCGCCCAGATAAAATTAGTTGCTCACTTCATGGCTGTTTGTGAGACATTGTTGTACGCAAATTGGCTGCCCCTTTTGACTACAAAATACACTGACGCAGTAAATCCTGTGAAGCTCCTTGGGATGTTCTCCCAGTGTTGTGAAAGGTGTTATATAACCGTAAATTTGTATCGTATACCTGTTTTTTCCACATTATCTACATTATTTGTGGATAAGGAAACAGTGTGGGCATCAAGTAAAATACAAATTGGCTGTAAGGCTAATTAAAAATTCTTCCACTGGGACTTATATCATAGAACCTCTCTCTGTGTGTCTTGTGGTCAGTCCAGCTAAATGTACAGTGATAATCAGTGGCCTCTCTTGTTCTCCTATGTGAATGGTGCGAATACAACATACAAAGTGGTGATGATAGCTTGTGTCACAGTATTTGTGACTTTGCTCTATAATAAGGAAAAGACAGACTGATGTATGAACCCTTTACTGCCATTGTAAACACTGTAACAAAAACATTGATTGCTAATTGAGGATTTTCATTTTTTTTCATCCTTAATGCAAAAAATACCTTATTCAGACCAAAATCATTTGCGACACTTGATTATTTACCATAGAAAATGCCTTGTTTTTTTTTAAAATCAACTGCAAGGCCCTGATCGTTTAACACAGTACAAGAGAGAGTCAGGAGGGAGGTCGGAACATTTTTAAAAATATGAATGAAGAAATATTACATTCTTGCTGTGAAACACATCAAGGGCTAAAAGGAATTAGGTGCAATAGTGATTTGGCACAATTTGATTCCCTCAGTTTAGATTGCTTGGGTTCTTAAGAGACGCTGAACCTTTTGAATGGCTAGTTAACTTATCAGGAGACATCCACAATGAATAGCAGTTCCGATTCTTGCATTAGTTGCATTTTGTTGCAGCTGCAGTAAGTGCCCAGATGATGCAGTGAAGGCTACATATTGTTTAACAGGATGCAGGAGATGTTCAATCTCTCTGAGAGTACATGTTGCGATAAAACCTAATCAAACTTGTCGGCCTGTCTCTTGCACATCCATTTCTACCTCTATCACCTTTCCTGGCAGCAAGTTCCAGTCGTTGACAAGCAGGTTGATGGGGGAGCAATAGGCTGGGTGGGCGTTCTGGAGGGATGAGGTCGATTGGGCCAAAGGGCCGTCTTCATCCAGACCAACCTTTATGACCTTATATGCTCTTTCTTCTCCCGAGCAGCAGGACTTGCCTTATTTCAGCAAGTGCTCCCCACACAGGCAATTCGTTATATCAAGAGCCGTCATAATTTCATATTACACACATATCAGTCAGTGTTCTTGAAAACGAATGGAAATTCAGAGGCTCGTTAAAGGATGTTTCACTGCTTATCCTGGCATTGCTTTGACTTTAAAAATTTGTGTAAACCTTGTGGCCAGAACAGCATAAATTAACCTGCTCCAAACCAGCCAAGCCATTTTTGAGAACGTTTCGAAAGCGATTTGAATTGCACCACTGTATTCGAAACGCTGTGTTATAAAGGTGTGGGGAAAGGGCAAGGGTTTGGAAGTAAATAGATGTCAGAGGGCCAGCACCTCCCATCTTCTGTCCTTTAAATTGCTACAGTTTTAAGAATGCATGTAGTTTTAGTTAAGATGTCAATGATTTTGCAACAGTTTAAATGTCTGAATTTCGGTTGCATGAATCTATCACTGTCAATTTTCGAATGCGCCAATCTTTTAGACTATATTTGTATCATTACTTGGCTGACATTTCTCTCTGTGGGTACTTTATTTGTTTCCACAAGCTCTGAAATATTTAATACTTAATACTTTCTCCACAGTTCCGCAAAGTAGTTAGTTGCCTGACTAAAGTCATGCCTTCCCGGTTGGCATTTATTTTCTTCCGTTGGGTTAAGTAATTAGATTTCGCTGAGCCTGTATAAATAGATTTCAAAATAAATGTATCAAACCGTATCAATCATAGCAATAGTTTTGATAACACAGCGTTGCCTCCTAATACACTTGCTGTGAAATTGCATTCACTTTTTCTTATACTTCGAGTAAGAGTTTCATCGTCAATCTGATTTGTCCTCTGCAAGTCTTATTTTATCCCTGCAGGTGTTGAATTTTAGATTACAGAGTTACACATGGATCCAGAAAATTAATATCCCGTTGTTCTGTTTGATAATAAATCAATGAACCTTGCCAACATGTATTGTTTGAGTTATGTACTGTTTGTCAAAGAAATAATAAGTGAGCATTAACATATTAGTTCGGTCCATGTATTAACAAAGGAGCTTAATTACTTGATAGAAAATCTTCACTCTCCCATTGTAGGTAGATGATTCAGAGATCCATGAACCTTGATAAGGCACATTACAATTCCACCGTACCTCAAATTCATTTGGATATGCCCAGTATTTGAGATATATAGGCCAATTTAAGCCATTGTCAGCCAAGCTGAATTGATAGCTATCTCTCCTCTGAGTCAGAAGCTTGTGGTTTCAAGCCCAACATCAAGCAGTCGAAGTTGGCACTTTACTGAGCTGCTGAGCACTAATCTTTAAGGAACGGAATTGCATTTGCTTCATTTTATGATCCATCTATTGACAACTATCACGTTGAATGCATTGTAACATGTTGCAAAACATTTCACCCCAATATCCAACAATATTTTGAAGATATCCCACCATATGTCAAGGTCTAGTATCTGAAATCGACTGCATACGAGTTCTCAACCGGGAATGTTTAATTCCAAATCCAGAGTTGCCTGTGTGGGCCGAGCTACTTTTCGAACAGTCGTTTTGCCAGACAGATATTGTTAAGGGTTGTGACATTGATGCCTGTCTTTTCTTTTATTCCAGGTCAGTTGGCTGTAGGTACATGTGAAATAGTGACATTGGATAGAGACAGTAGTCAACCACGAAGAACTATAGCCAGACAAACAGCACGATGTGCTTGTAGAAGAGGGCAGATTGCTGGTACAACCAGAGCCAAGCCAGCCTGTGTGGATGGTAAGTCAGAAAGGGGTTTATTTAACGTTTCTCTGTCAAACTGATGGAATAATATGCAGCCACCTGAAATGTGTAGCATTTTTTNCCCTGTATTGTGTGCCATTAGCTGCAGTAAAATCCCAGTGTAATGGTTGATGTTTTGATGGTTAAATAACATCCGTGGTAGGCGCTATATAAGTGAAAATTGCTATGTGAAACATGTAAATCATAGGCTATTGGTGATATAAATGACCGCGTGACAGAGGCCTGATGGTGGAGTCCAGATTATTAAAGAAAGACAAATACCACCCTGTCGACGAAATGCAATCTCCAGTTAAACAGCTTTGTTTCGTGTTTCATACAAATATGCGATTTCTAACTTTCTTCTAAAGCTCTTTATAATAATCGTTGCATTTGGTATTGAACTAGAAGTATAATTGGAAACCTTACACCGTATAGTTGATTAATTTCCCCTAGTCTGTGCCCTGCAGTTCAGAAGATGATACATAATTACTCAATAAACCACAGACTATGTGACATCTATAACAATACTAACTCTTAGTGTGCATTAATGAATTGACTTATCTGGATCGATTTTTGTCCTGCTGGCGTGCCATTTTGTTGTGGTGAGTTTTTGCCATGTCAAGAGATTGACTTATCCCGTCAATAATATAACCATATTCACGTACACACTTTGGGTGTTGACTGGATGACATGCGGGAAGAGAATGAGGGGAGGATGCAGAAGTTTCTGATCGTTCATTTCTTAATTTAAGGACTTTGTGACTTTAAACAGGATTCTCCAGGAATTTACTTACCTAAGAGGGGAAAAGGCACTTGCCAAGGTCGATAAAATTGCTAAATGAGAAATCATCCCCTTGTTATTTCACACTCGCTCTAAAAGTGTTTGATAATGACCCGAGGGTCCAGTGGAAACGTATTTAATTCCCTCACACCTTTCATGTTGATCAGCAAACGGTATTGGGTGTATAAAAGTGAACGTCAACAGCTTTGAACCCAGCTACAAACTACTTAGGCTACTTTTAGGCACTTTTACCCAATTCACCTTATTTAGTGGTGATCACATGGCTCGCCTGGTTCTCCAGTCGAAGTAGAACTTCCAGTCTTCACGCTGACAAATTGTTTTATTTTGATGAGTTCTGATGAGTTTATGAATCACCCTGGCTTTGTCTTTCATCTTTTGTTGGTTGCATTACTGAATGTCTGCTTGATTGAACAGCAATATCCTTTGGGAAAGATAAGTGTGCAGGGCTATGGGGAGAGAGCGGTGGATTGGGATTAAATTGGATAGCTCTGTTCAAAGAGCCGGCAACAGATACAATGGGCTGAATGACCTCATTCTGTGCTGTACAATTCTATGATTCCAGGAATAATTGACTCAATATCATCATTCAGTAATGAAACCCCAACAAGACCCTGTGTTAACAATTACATTTTCTTACTTACAAGTAAGCAAAAACGCAGCACTTGGGGTTTTAGATAGATATCCTACTACCTTCTCCCATATAGAAACTGTGTGTTCCTTGGAGTGAAAGTGAGTAATGCAATGCAGGAGAATTGTTTATAATCTGTTACGTACGTGGACTTGAACCTATAGTGTAAACTGGCACTTTCAGTGCAGTACTGGAAGAGCCAATGTGTTGAGATGCTGTCTTTCAGATGGGTTTAACTGAGATCCTGTGTGTTCTTTAGGTGGATGTTAAAGATCCCTTGACACCTTTTCCAGCGCCTTGGGACGTCCTCCTGACGTGAAAGGCGCTTTATAAATGGAATCTTGTTGTTGTTGTTGACACCTTTTAGAAAAAAAAAGTTTCTCTTTGTTGTCTGGACAACAATTCCTCAGATTAATTAGCTGTGATTGTTTGTGGAATTGTGCTGCGCGCAAAATAGCTAATGAGTTTCCTTACAAAAGCAATTACCACGTGAAAATGCAACATTTTTCTCTCTCCCTCTCTCTGTCTCTGTCTCTCTGGAGGGCAAAAGGGACTAGTTTAGTATAGCTGTGCCAAGTTTCCGATTTGCTGAGTTGGCATTTGAAAAGTAGGATTTAGCTAAGCACAAAACAAATTAATTTGTTTATGAACATACTTTCAGTTATAAACCATAAAATCTTGAATCGAAATACATTCTTTGTTCGTTCATTCAATTTAAGAAATGAGCATTGTTGTTACTGGAATCCTGTGCTGAATAATTTGTCAGGTTTGAAGAAGAAACAAAGCAGTACATACTTATTCCTATTTTTAGTATTCTGCTAATGAATGCAAGCCTGTGCCTACACTAAGTGCTATTTATACATGACTAGGAAATATAAACTCAATGTGCCTATTTAACTGATAGAATTCAGTATTGATCCGGAAACATTTCTTTACACAAAGGGTTGTGATAGTGTAGAACGCACTGTCTCAGATGACCATAGATGCAGATCGATTGGGATGTTTAACTTGAAATAAATAGATACTTGTGAAGTTAAGCTATTAAGGGATAGAAACGGTAGGCAAATGAGATTAAAAGATCTGCCGGTACCTAATAAACTGTCAGATGTTATTCAGTGGACCTGACTGGTCTCTTCCTAATTCTATGCTCTTAATAAGACTGGACTGCAGTGAGTGACCCAACAGCTGTAATGTTGAACGACATTTGGTCGCTCATCAAGTTGGAGTGAGTGAAGAGTGTGAATGACCATCATTTCCATCACTTGTCTGCAATCGATTGGTAAACGTATTTTACTGAAATTCAGCGAATGTGGTTACTTACTGTTATTCATGACATTCCATGAGAAATTTTCATTGGCAAAAATTAGATTTTTCCTAATGTTCTAATTTTTAGAACAATGCTAAATCGTCGTTCTACTCCAAGACAACCTTGAAGGCTAAGGACAACCTTAGGCTCCTCCGCTCCATCATGAACCAACTCCTCCGCTCACCCTCTTACGCCTCACCCATCCTCACCTCAAATCCCAACTGCGAGGCAATGTTGGACTTCCTCGAATCCAAAGTCGAGGGAATCCGCTCAGCTGCCTCTGCCACTGCAACTAATACCCTCTCCCCATCTTCTCCTCCCACCCCGGCCCCTATCCACCCCTCCCTCCACACCTTTGAACCCGTCTTCCCCTCCTCTCTCATCACCACCATAACCCATAAGAAACCCACCACCTGCTTAGATCCCATGGATCCCATCCCTATCCCCCTCCTTACCTCCCAGCTCCACCTCCTTTCCCCACTACTCGCTGACCTTGTTAACCTCTGCCTGTCCTCTGGTACTGTTCCCACCCTTTTAAAAAAACGCTGTCATCATTCCTAGCCTTAAAAAACCCTCCTTGGGCCCTTCTCTACTCTCTAACTACCGCCCAATCTCCAACCTCCCCTTCCTCTCCAAGGTCCTAGAACGAGTTGTTGCTTCTCAGTTTCGCTCCTTCCTCTCCCGTCACTCCCTTCTCGAATCCCTCCAATAGGCCTTCCGTGTCGCTCACAGCACAGAAACTATCTTGCTCAAAGTGACAAATGACATTCTGTCCATCTGCGACCAGGGCTCCCTCTGCCTCCTCATGCTCCTTGACCTCCCTGCTGCTTTCGACACCATCAACCACTCTATCCTCATCCACTGCCTCTCCTCTCACCTCAACCTCCACGGCTCTGTCCTTGATTGGTTCAGATCGTACCTCTCACACCGCCTGCACTTCATCTCCTCAAACAGCTTCTCCTCCAGCCCCTGGATGGTCTCGTGCGGTGTTCCTCAGGGCTCTGTCCTTGGGCCCCTCCTCTTCAACATCCATATGCTCCCTCTTGGTGACATCATCCGCATACATGGGGTCAACTTCCATATGTATGTGGATGACACCAAACTCTACTTCTCTGCCTCCACCCTTGACTCCGTGACCACTGCTGTGCTGACAGAATGTCTGCCAGACATCAAGTCCTGGATGAGAGCTAATTTTGAACGTCACCAAGACTGAGGCTTTCCTGATTGTCTCCCGTCAGTGGCTCCTCACCTCAGGTGCTGACAGTATCACCATCCATGGTTGCTCACTCCACCTTGCTAAGCCAGTCCGGAACCTTGGGGTCTTGTTTGACCCTCAACTATCTTTTCTGCCCCACATTGGTGCCATGACCCGCTCTGCCTTCCCCCACCTCTGCAACATCATCCGGCTCCGCCACTGTCTCAGACCACAGGCCGCCAAAACCCTCATACACACCTTCATTACATCGAGGCTCGACTATGCAAACTCACTGCTTGTCGGCCTCCCCAACCCCTCCCTCCACAGGCTGCAGATCATCCAGAACTCTGCAGCCCGTGTCCTCTCCCGCACCAGGCTCCGTGACCCTATCACGCCCATTCTTGCCCCAACTCCACTGGCTTCCCATCACACAGAGGATACAGTTCAAGATCCTGATCCTCACCTTCAAAGCCCTCCACTGCCTCTCCGACCTCCTAACCCCCTATCATCCTGTCCACTCCCTCCGCTCAGTGGGCTCCGGCCTGCTGCACGTCCTCCGTCTTGCTCGCGCCCCTTTTGGTGGGCGGGCCTTCCGCCACTCTGCACCCACCCTCTGGAACTCCATCCCACAGTCCCTCCGTCTCGCTCCCTCCCTCGACACCTTCAAGACCCATCTCAAGACCCTCCTCTTCGACCATGCTTTAGATCTCTCTGCTTCCCCCACTGCTCTCCCCCCTCCCCCACTCCGACCCTCAGTTCGGGTGCGAAACTCTGTCTGTCCAGCGCCTTGGGACGTCCTCCAGAAGTGAAAGGCACTATACAAATGTAATTTTGTTGTTGTTATTGTTTTTCGACAATAAAAATGGCCGAATTCAGGGGTGCCAAGTCACCACTGGTGTCACTTCCGGTCCAGGAAGTGAGGTCAGTCGCCCACTATTTTTGTTGTGAAAAAATAGCCTTCAACAAAAATAAATTCAAAAATAAGAATCTAATCCCACGACCCTACTTATGAAATAATTATCATATTAAATCTTATGAAAAGTTGCAAAACGTACCCCTAACTGTGC